TGCGTTAAGGTGGGACATCTTAGATTCATTAAAAGTTCTTTACTCTTACATGAACTTTGAGTTTTGAGATTTAAATCATTACAGAGAACAAATCCTTTTGAAATACATTCAAAAATTAATTATCTGTAAGTGTAGTTTTCATAAGGGATTTTACATCTTCCATGTCTTTGTTTTAAACAAGTTCTTATTTTTCAACAAATAAGCTAGGCAATCCTGATTTGAATTTTTCTTTCCAAAATTCATTATTAGCGTTTGTTCTTAATAAGACTTTTGTTCAAAGTACATTTTTATACCACCTAAAATGTGTTAAGGTGGGCATTTTAGATTCATTAAAAGTTCTTTACTTTTACATGTACTTTGTAAGTTTGTCCTTACAAAATGTTTTAATATTATTTGCATTAAAGTTTAAACAACATCTTCTTGAGTGATTATACTTTCATCTTTAGCTGTTATGATTTCTACTCCATTTAATATTTCATGTCTTTGGGTTAAACTTAAATAATTATCCCACCAGCCTCTTCATTGCCCAGTAAATCCTGTTGCTATAAATATAGTAGTAATATAATCTGAATTACAATTAGTTTTATAGATAGATGCATACATTAAAATTTTATGTAAAACTTGATGAATTAAATATTCTATCATACCATCAATATTCTATTCATAAATAAAAGAAGCATCATATCTAGTTTTTTTAATAAAAAAGATTTTCTCATATAAAATATATTGAGGAGTTGATATTTGATAATAAGCCCTCATAGGAGGTACCTGAGAGTATGTGTTAGTTTGTTTTTTAGCTTTAGAATGCCCAATTTTATTTACTTCAATTTTCATTTGATGTAAAGAATCTTCAAATTGTTGGATTTCAGTTTCAGATTGCTCTACACTCTTAATTTGAGAAATTACATTTAATGACATATTTTTTAGTTTCTTTTTGAATTCATTTATAAATTTATCTTCAACTTTATTATGAAGATTAAATTAGAGGTATCAACTGGTGGTTTAATATTTATCTTTTCAACTTCAATATATTTTTCCTTTAAGGATTTAGAAGACGAGACTTTTGTTTTTTGTTGATCCTTAATTAAGTTCTTAATCTTTGTCAAATGTTGTCCTACAACTTATAAACAAACATTTGTATAATTACTTTATTTTATTGAAAATATTTTTTTCCTATGTCATTATCGTTTAATGCATAACAAGTATTCATTACAACTTCTCCGGAACCATTTAAATCTATATATGCGGGTAAGGTAAGGTATGAATTCAAAAATTTTGTAGGTATTCTACATTCTTACTAGATTTTTGGCAGAATACCAAAAAGTCTTCATTTGGCTTACTCAATTCTTTCAGATAGTCGATCAATAGAGTCGGATAGGGTAAGGTAAGATAGGGTAGGGTCAGAATTTGCGGGTAATCAAAAATTTGACCACCCCAATCTTTCTCTAGTTTTTTTTTGCAAAAAAAAAAAAAAAAAAAATTCGAAGGCCAAACCCTAGTGTCTATATATCAACCTCTCACACTTGGGCTTAATCATACTCACGGACCTAGACATGGAAAAATCATGCCTTAAACCTAATAGGTAAGGGTACTACTCACAAAAGCTCTAGGAAAGTAAGCTTGTTTGATTTGTGTCTCAGAAAACGGTATCCGAAAACTATTTTTAAGAAAAAATTTCAAAAATTAGTTTTTATATTTTTTTGGTCGTAGAACTTGGTTTTATATTACTAAAAACAGTTGTGCAGAACAAAAAGCAAAAAACCTATTTGGACATGCAGATGCCAAGAGATGCAAACTAAGGGCCTGCAATATTTTGATATAATAAATTTGATAAAATACAAAAAAAAAAAAAAAAAGGAAAATCTAGCCATGAACTGCATTGCCGGAGCTTCGCTGGAGTAGCCATCAACTGAGAAGAAAGAAAGAGTAACCATCGACTGCGAACAAGTAGATCTGAACCCAGTATCCCGAAAAATATTCTTTCGCCGGAGAAGATTTAACTTGAAAAAAAAATAAAACTCAAAGAGAATTTTGCTGCTGGCAACTCTTTCGTCGCTCGCAACTCTGTGGTCTGCCATGTGTGCATGCTGCTGCCGCACTCATTTCTTGTGGGCAGAATGCCCATCTATTTGTTGAGCATTGTTTCATAGTAGGTAGTCACCGGAGAAGACGGAGAAGACGAAGAAGACCTAGATATGAAAACCTAGATCTCAAACCTGTTAGAGAGCTCTCAGTTGTCGGAGAAGACGAAGATGACGATCTCATCTTAGCTCTCTCTCAGTCGTTGGAGCTCTTCGGTCGTCGGTGAGATGTGGAAGACACCTGGTTTTGTCGAGTGGAGACAGAGACAGTCAGGGAGAGAGGAAGGGAAAAATAAAAAAAGCCTATATATTATGGCTAATTTTGCTGCTACAGGGATTCGAAGGAGAGACCACATTAATTAAAGAGTAGAATTGTTTTTCTTGTTTTCTATTTTTGCTTCAAAATTCAGAAAACATCTAAACAATGTTCTCTAATTTTTGTTCTCAATTCCCACTTTTTTTTAATTTTGTTTTTGACAATTGTTGTCCAAACAACATTTCAAAAAAAATTTGTGTTTTGAAAACTAAAAACTGTTTTCAAAACACAAACTAAACAGCATCTAAATCCTTCCACAAAAAGAAGGCTCTGGTTTTTTTTTCCAGATGATTATGGAATCTCATGCTTCTTCATTCACTTAACGTGGATAGGACAGCTCTGCACAACTAAGTGTCAGGTGGTACCACATGCTAGACAGAAGTAATGTGGTGATTTTGATACATTATATGCTAATATGCACTATTATGGAAACGAATCTGCAATTTTCAGGAAAAGCCTTGTAAACAAGAAAATGCAATCACTTTGCCAACACTATATGTGCTTAGAAGGGGATTTTTTTTGGTCATTGCTTTAATTAGCAACCATAAAGTGGTTGTAAATGGATAGATATCCCACCCACCCGTACACTATCAGTCTATCACACAAGGTCAGTAAGTTCACATATATTCACAAACAAACTTTCATCGCTTCCCTCTCATTCTTACACTATCAATGTTCCAAATAACTACACAAATTTGTAGGAAAGTTGAGGTAAAACATTCCAAATGCAGGTTTCAACGACTTTATTGTATCCTAGAGTTGAATTTACCATCCAACAACAAACAATTAAGGAGTTGCGAGATTATAAAGTGTCTTACAATGTTCCTCAAAGTGCAAAGATTGCTCTTGGCATTCATCATACTCAACCCACTGTCCTAACAAGAACAATATAGGTGAATCCCTTTAAAAGGCATTATCTTCAAACTAATGATCTAGCATATAAAGAAACACAGTCCTTTTCCTTCCAGGATAGCAATTATTTCCAGTCAAACAAGCACCACTTCTAAAATAAGATGTTTTTAGGTGACTTGCCGATTTTGCTTGCTACATACTGATGAAGTAGGATCCCCACAAAACATGGATGAAGTCTCATACAATCTCACAGATGATGGTCTCCATGAACGTTTTTCTCTGAGAAGAGATTAACAAAGGGCCTGAATTTGGTGATAAGTGCTAATAGGTGTAGTAACTAGGCCTAGCCACATGAAAAGATCATGGGTTAGGCGAAAATTTATGTGCACTCTGAAAATAAATTCTGGACATTGTTTGATGCCATTAATACTAGGTTTCATCATCAACCTGCCAAAGAAACATCAAATAAGCAATGCAATTGTGCAAGTGCAAACACCTTGATTATGGACAATACCATAAAGATGCCACTGCTGTTTAGAAAGGTGAAGCGAAAAAACTAAGTTGAGTGGGTTATAAAAAAATTGTACATGAGTCTGTGTTCACATGAATAATTACTATACCACAAAAAGAAACAACAAAAGCAAACCGCTACAACAAATACCAAAACCCCCCAAAAGAGAGAGAGAGAGAGAGAGAGAGAGAGAGAGAAGACAAACAACAAAATAAATATGAAAACAGAAACAAAAAGGAAAGGTGGAAAGGAAAAGATGAAAGGGAAAAAATAAATTTACAGAGGAAACTCCTGAATTGAAAATACTGAAACATTGCATAGTTGTAGTTTCCATCCACATTAAAGCATGTTTATACTACTGTGTTGATTTTTAGGGAAAGCATAAGGGACACGTTGGCTTCCCTGCAATTCTAAAGCTCAAGGCAAAACCTAGCTCTGGTGCAACAATGTTTACTCCCCCTGACAGCTGCGTCAGATAAGTTCCAGAATGTGTTAAGGAAAAAGAACTCTAATGTTCCAGCTGTCAAACCACAGCATGACACAAGATTGTGTATTCATAGGACTTAGTTAATGTAAGTGACATAGGATATTGGGTGAAGTATTGGCTCACGGCCTATACTTCCCTCAGAATTCGGATAACCAGTGTTAGATGTTTTTGTTCATATCATATTGCCTACTGTTTGTACTGGCACGATTGTTGCTTGTAAAGCTTGTATTAAATCAATATAACTATATTTTCTGAAAAAAACGAAAGTTCATGCTGAAAAAAATTAAAGGGAACAAGGAAACGAATGAGGAAATTCTTGATTGAAATAAATAAAACATTGCAACATGTATTTTCCATCCAAATTAGAGCAAGTTTATGCTCTCTCTCTAAGCTTAAGAAAGAGAAATTGAAGAAAAAAATACTGGAAAATAGGGAAAAATGACCACGTTGATGCGGATTTACTAATTACTACTACCAGTTCTCTCAGATGATGAAGGAGAAGATATAACAAAGAAATTAACAATCCAATTAGTTCATGACAAATCAATATGTGATGTAGGTAATATAAATTTTATTAACTAGTGGCAGCAGCACAAGAAGATATAAAAGAAGAAACAATTAAAAAAAAAGAAATAATGCGAATTTACTGCTAGAACTAGTATTAATTTATTACTCTCAGATGATGATTGTGAAAACAAATGAACAAAGATCAGAAGTGGGAAGGATGACCATAAAATAGAAGATTGAGGGAATTTACGAACCAGTACTTGCGCTCTCAGATGAATTCAGGAGCTCGTCGAGCAGATCTGCTCCTAAATCTTCAAGTACCAAAACATTGTTAGAAATTTCTGAGATCCATGAGGCATTTCCTGCATTTAGGTCTTTCCCTTTCTTTCTCCTACCTTTTGACTTGCCTCTCATCTTATTTTTTTCCTTTAATTCTGCAGCTGGGGAATACCCATCCTTGTAGCTGCACCTCATCTTCAAATCTTGAAGCGACTCCTGAACTCTCTCCTTTGGGAAGTTGAGGAGAGCCAACTGACCTCGCATCAAAAATGCAGCTTGATCATAAGCCAAAGCAGCCTCCTCAGCACTATCAAAAGTTCCAAGCCAAACCCTCTTTCCTTGTCTTGTCGAATCCCTTATCTCGGCCGCGAATCTTCCCCATGGTCGCCTTCGAACTCCTATGTATTGCTTTTGCTTTAGATTCTCTTCTTTAGGTGTACCCTTGGAGAGATCCATTTTCAGTGGTTTTGGGACTTCCTGAGTGAAGATCTTGAATTGAAGATTCTCCTCTGCTGCATCAACTGTTAGCATAGACCAGCTCATCCCAAGATGATGATGATGGAGAGTCTGGAGAGAGTACAACACTTGTTTATTGAGGGGAGGAAATATTCATCTGCAAATTGATGACTTCTGAGGTTTGGACTTTATGCCATTGCTCTGTTGACAAAGCCCTCAATTGGGTCTAAATTCCCAAGAACAGGTAAGACTTTGTCATGTTTCAAAGGGTATGAAACGGGAAAATGGATTCCATTGAGCTAAAGGGGAGATAAGATCTTTGTGTGGGGGTAAACCTCCAAATCTAAACCTATATTCAGTGAAGCAATGGCAAGGTGGGTAGGGTACAGTCTCATGTCAGCCTTGTTCAAGTGGATATTTTTATAACGACTATTGAACCGAGGACCCATTTAGGTTGAGTTTGTCATTTGAAAAAACAGAAATATGATCTGATTATTAATTTGAGGGCCCAGTACATGCATAGCTTAATTGAGACAGGAAGTACAAAGAAAGAGACCGAAAAAAGATGACATTTTTTTATTGTCTACGGTTTCCAGTTGGCAATAAAACATAAGTAATGCTGTTGATATTTAAAAAATTAGTCTAATTTATCTGCACAATGATGTGTTAAATGACGAAGTTTTAATAAAAAATTCAAGAATTATAATCACTGTCATATTATTAGGTCAACAAATTAGGTTTATTTTTTAGGTCCCAAAAATATTATTCATAAAACATTACAGAAAAAGAGAGATTAATTGAATATCTAGTTTTATCAACTTGATTAGAAAAATTATATAGTTTCTTTAATTTTATCGGGCATGTCAGCGCCATGGGTCTATTTAGAGGACGCCAACAATACAATTGCAGCCTATAATAATGTCATGGTTGTTCGGAGCTTGGGCCATGGATTTTATACTAAAGATTTCCCCTTTTCTATAAAGTAACATTCTTTTATCATTTTGACCACTAATTATCTGTCTTACTAATAAAAGTACCTTAACATGAAAAAATTTTAATTTATTATTTTGCCCTTATAAAAAATTATAAAAACTAGCATATCTTTTTTTATTTAAATATATAAATTATCATTATATCCCATTTTATTTAAATAATAAACTAATCTCTAACATATCATATAAATCTCTATCTTTGCAAAACTTTTGAATAATCATGTTATGGTTAACATTATATATAAAAATAATATTATTCTTTTTTTTTTCAAAACCCAATATTAATACACGTTAACAACTCTATTGATACAATATCAACTCCAATGTCTAAAAACAACTATATTTATCTTATTTTTTCATTCACAATAAAAATAATTTGATAAAAATTATTGATACACAGTAAAAACAAGAAAGACAAAAAAAAAACGAGAAAAGAACAATTTATAAACTTTACTACTTGATAATTTGAATGAAAGAATCACAAAAAAAAAAAAAAACTCAATTGGATGTTTATAGTTATGAAATAGAATACAAACAATTTAAATATGATAATATATGAGATAATATCTAATGTAACTACATAATTAGTTTTTTTTATGTATTTTATCAAATATTTCAATAAATATTTTCACGTGCAACGCACGTCGTGCATTGCTTGTTATACAAAGTCGGTAGAGATCATTCCAATGAAGGCAATCAATATGCCGACATCATACGAATGATAGAAAAAAAATATTGTGCACCGATTTGGGAAATAGTTGACTAAGTAACAGTCTTTGCAAGTAGCGAAGTCAAAGGATTTGCAGATGAATATGGTTTCAACGTAATCCACTCAATCCTATACTATGCGCAAAGAAACGGCCAAACAAAATCCACCAACAATATGATGAAGGGAATTATCATAAATACAGTAAAAGACAACTCAAGTGAATAGTACGACAAACTATCGGAAACACTATGAGCAAATAAAACGTTCAAATGGTCTGGCACCGAAATCACACTATTCAAACTGACGTATGTGCACGATGCAGTCTAACTTATGGAAATTACCATGAAATCGCTACGAGTAACTTTTCAGAACGGGTTAATTCCAGCTAAATATAATGAATTCATGACGATCAAGCTTAAGGTTTTGGACGAAGTGAGGCTGCGTTCTTTGAATTGCAGTAAGGTCCAAAAGCTCCGAGCGGCCAAGGCATACAACAAGAGGGTTAGACACAAGACTTTCGACATCGACAACCGAGTCTGAAAAATAAAGTTGTCTTTAGAACTAAATGACCCGAGGATTGACAAATGGTTTGCCAACTGGGAAAAGTTACTTTATATCTAAATATGAAATTAATTGATACATCATATGTAATAGTTAAATGTGATATATACATATATTAAAAAAAAATATTTAAATAACATATATTTCAACACTCATAATTAACTTTTCATCTATATTTTTTTTCTAATTTTAGAGAGATTAACTTTGATGAGTTGAAAGAAATATTAATTTATCCACTTTTTTATGATTCTTATCCACTTTTTTCTTCTTTACTAAACATGATTATCTATCTATTCACGATCAGATCGACAAGTATGGTTGATCCTTGAACAACCTTAGCACATTATGTTATTATCCAATTAATTTTCATTGGAGAAAATTTTACTCACATCCTTTCTAATATATCATATTTTCAAGGACACCCTCTGAATCTTCACTGATACCCTCGTCAGTGTGTATAGAGTGATAGTGATAATAGAAAATATGTCTTTTACCTTCTTACCCCTATGTTTGAGATTGATTTACAAGCATCTCTAACGGTTAGATATATCCAATGGACAAAAATAAATTCTACAATTTAAAAAATTAATTTTTTATTAATTTTTCCATCAAATATGCAAAAATTAACAAACAAAACAAATATATATTATTCATAAATATATAGGTTCATTTATAAGTTCATGTCGAACACTAATTAACTGGAATTCAACCCATTTAACTAATTGGGTCGTGTCAATCAACCAGATTATTTTTCGTATCATGTTTGTATCAATCCATATAACTTGTGAATAAAAAATTTAATACTGAAATTAAAGTTTAAGATTTCATTATCTCTTAGTTGAATTCGTGCTCATATTTTTTCATAAATTAAAAATAACATAAAAATTATTTGAGTGTGTGATATTAGACTTGAAATTTATTATTTACAAAATTTCTATTGTCAACAATTATCTAACAAAAATCTAATCAGTCTTTTCCTATTATATCAACTACTAGACCTTGAAATGAATTTTATCAATTAAAAAGTAAAGAATTGAGTACAAAAATATAAACAGTAATTTACAATCTCATCTAATAAAATTTTAAACAAATTTATATTAATATTGAAATAATTATTAATATATTTGTATGTTATCATACTAATAATTGATAAGACCTCATTCAAAATTTCGTCTAGAATCTCAATTTGGTTGGTTGACGACACATTCTATTTGTACATATAGGTGTTTAAACTTGATATTGTGAGATTGTGATCATGTCTTGCAAATATTTGAAATATGTGGTGACAAAGCATTTATCATTGTTGGTTGATTTGCAGTGATGGGATGGGCAGTGGTTGCAAAAGAGGGAGAATAAAATGCAAGGGTAATTCGGGGATTTTTTAGATAAGTTTGCATGACTTCAACCCTTTTGCATTAGTCAGTAGTGGTTAATCACCATAAGTTGTGTAAATGATGCTGACATCTATATTATACAATTGAACAAATTTTGATAAGTTTATTTAGTGATTTTAAATAAATTTATTTAACATTCATTAATATTTTTTTTAAAATTATTTATATTATATTGTATTTTAAGACACAAAATACTCATAATATAATAAATTAAAAAGATTGTGAGGAAAAGTTTCTATTTTCAGTATCATTTTGGACGGAGAGGATAATAATATACCTTGGTTTGACCCGTGGGCTCTGCCATGTCTTGTCGGCCATTGAAAAATTTCTTCCAAGACCAAGAGAGGGTGGTTAGAGCTGACCGTTGGTTTTGTCGTGTTCCGTCGGCGGCTATACCCCACCTGCGTTTTCACAACACGTTGGCTAACACCTTTTTTTTTTTTTTGTAAAACAAAAAAAGGAAACATGATATCTATAGAAACTCGATTAAACCTCAAAATTTCCACCCGGTTCTTCTTAATCTTCTCTCTTTCTTTCCTCAACCCTCAGGTTGTTTTATTTACTTACTTTTTGCTTAAAACAGCTTGGAAATTGGAACATATCGGCCCAATCGTTGGTCTTTATCTAGGTAATAATCCAAACCTTTTGATCTATTTTTCTTATTTTGTTTTCCTTTATTACTATTTCTAACATTTCATCTGTTTCTTGACTTTTAATTTTATCCTCTTTTGGGTAAACTTATATTCATGTAAATAGCAAAAAAAACTTATATTCTTGTTAATCTTCATTCTTGGATACCATTGAGTTTTTAAAGTCCCCACTTAATTGCAGGTATAAGTTTTTTGAACTACTATTTTTGGCGTATGAGAACAAGAAATAGGTATTACTGCCTTATTCTATACACAAATTCACTCTATAATATTATAAATTTTGCGGTTTGGATACAAAAATTGGGTATAATTTATATGATTTTTCTACAATTTAATATTGTAGTGAGTATATTATAAAAGACTAATATTGATTTTTGAATAAATTTTTGTCGTCGAAAACATAAGTAGGTATAATTCATGTTACATATATAACTCACTTAAAATATGAGTTTCCTGTGGTTAGGTATTATACAGTCATATCGTACGAAAACCTATATTGATTTTAAAGTCTGCTACTTAATTGCAGGTATAAGTTTTTTAAACTACTATTTTTTGTGTATGAGGACAAAAAATAAGTATTACTATGTTATTTATTATACAGATTCCGTCGATAGTAATATAAATTTTGCGTTGTGGACACAAGAAATAGCCATAATTTATAGGGTCTTCCAAGAGTTTAATATTGCAATGTATATATATTACAAAGGACTAATATTGATTTTTAAGTAAATTTTTGTCGTCCAAGACATAAGTAGATATAAATTATGTTACATATATAAGTCACTCAAAACATGGGCTTCCTATGGTTAGGCACTATACAGTCATATCCTAAAGAGAAGTATTGATTTTTCAGTAAATAATTGTAATCTGGGATTAAGAAACACATAATTTATGCTACCTATCCTACTTAGAATATAAACCCCCTAAAAGCTAAAATAATTTTTTCCTTTTGGAGAGAAGTAACATAAATAATTTATGTTATGTATCATAGTCAAACATGGATTCCTCTACCGTTAGGAGTAAAAATTAATTTTCCAAGGAATTAACGTTGATTTTCGAATAAATTGCAAATCTACCCATTTAAGTTAGGAACCTTGTTGAATCTCTCATCTATATACTATACGAATAGGTTCTACCATCTTC